TTAACTTTATAAAATATTAAATTTATTAAATGTAATGTATTCATTAAATGCATTAAATTTGACTTCATTGTGTTTTTTCTACTCAAATTTCATAATTTTACAAATTTTAAAACAATTTTTAAAAATACATATTTTGCCACCTAACTTTTAGATTTTTATACATTTTATCATTTTGTTAATTAATTATTGACTATTAATGTGTCACGTTAAATGCTGACATAACACAATATTTATCATGTCATCATTTATATATCACATCAATCTTTTGTGTTGTTGATAAAGATGTCAAGTCTAAGTTAGTGATCAAAATGTCAATCTATGATTAATGCGTCATGTTACTAGTTAATGTCCACGTTAATGATCGATCATTTAATAATATTAGATAATTAATTTACAAGATGGAAAAATATGAAAAATTTTAAGAATAGGTGACAAAATGTATAATTTCAAAAGTTAAGTAACAAAAATTAAAAAATTATAAAACATAAGGGACAAAAGAGTGATTAATACTAACTTTTTATACCATTCAAAATAAATTATTAAAATAAAATGCACAAAGGCAATTTTTTAATATAATGTTTAATATTAATAAAGTATTTTATAAGTACATGAATATGAAAATATTTTCCTTATATTTATTACTTATTGTAGTTATTAATTATAATACAGTAATTATTCCTTATATTATATTAATCAATTTATTTATTAAATATTTTATAATTAAATTTGGTAATACTAGAAAATATTATACTTATTAAGTATATTATATTTAACATTAAATATATTTTTCACAATAATTTTTTGTCAAAAAACATTAAATATATTAATTTATTATATTGAATATAATACACTAATCTGATGAGATGTTTTATAAAAAAAATAAATAAATTCAATCAATTTAACATATATTTTTTCACTAGCATCGGCTGAAATTTCCTGTCCATTTTAACATTATTTGGTTTAGTTTAATGATTAAAAAAAAATTACAATAATAATTTGTTCTGAAGTGTGTTCTGTTCCCATATTTAAACGACAAAACAAAAGTTGTACTATGCTCCCAAAGTTATCCACAATTACTTTATAAATATTTCTGATTTTTTTTAAATACTTAAAAAACTATTTTAAAGTTGAAGCTACCAATGAAAGTTCTAATTAAATTAAAATTATTTATTAATTTTACGAAATGTAGGAATTTACTTTTAAGTTGAAAATTCTTTAATTGTATATTCTTAAAATTTGAGAACTGAAATTAGAAAAAAAAATCTAAAGATAAAAAAATCATTTAATGAAATGCTGAATTTTCTTTATTAGCAAAAAATATAATATTTCTTTAAAAGCTCTTTCCAAAAATCCCGTTTGTTTTAAGAGAAATCAAAAGTAAAGTTTGGTATATGAGTGATTTTTTACTGAGTTATTTCTTTCTCGAATTCGAATCCTGAATGTATAGTTTTATTAAATATTTGGAGAAAATTTTGGAACTCACAGTGGTAGTCTTATTGTTCATAGTAGTCCTATCATTTTAATTTTTACAATTTTATGAATTTTATCTTTTAATTTTTATTTTTAAAAAAATTTCATTTTAGTTTATACACGTATTATTTTCATTTTTTTACTCCTTATAGTTTCATAAACTTTATTTTTTATTTAATCTCACATCAATAAATAGTAGAGAATAAAAGAGAATAAAAAATAATTTTTTTAATTAAAAGTTTATATTAGGATGATACATGTAATTATGTAAGATCAGAGTTCACTACCAATCTGTTCGAGAATTTTCAGTAAAAATCATCTAACATAAATTTGTATGAAAGTATATAAAATATGAGAGAAGTCAAATTCGATCCAAAATTTTAACTAATAAAAATAAAAGATTTTAACCAATTATGTCATCCCGTATAACATAACAAAAAATAATATACATAAAGATATGAGAAAGTATTTTTAATTATTAAATTAAGGTGTAAAATTTACGATATTATAAGACTAAAAGAGTAAATAATTGAATAAAAGAAATAAAAAATTAAAAACAAAATTTGGCAAGTATTTTCTCCTTCCAAAATTTACTTATTTTTTGCTGCCCCACTTGCATTCCCTTGATGAACTCTTTCTCATCTTAGCTGAGTGAAGTTGGCTTATAAATAGAGAGAAAGAGGGTGAGGTAATTGTCAAGTGAAGCAGTGAGAAGTTTGGTGTGAGAGTACTAGAAATGGTGATAATGGAGGGTGGTTCCAAGTGGTTACTCTATGTTGCTGGTGGTCTTCTAATCCTGAGATTTTTGCTGAGGAATGTGAATTGGTTTCTCTATGAATACAAGCTTGGTGGGAAGCAATACTTTCTTCCTCCAGGTGACATGGGCTGGCCCTTAATTGGAGACATGTGGTCCTTTCTCAGTGCTTTCAAGACCAACAACCCTGATTCCTTCATTGATTCATTTTACTCTAAGTATCATATATTCTTCACTATCTCTTCATTATTTTCATTTCATTTTCATTGTTCTACTTTCACATACCACACATGCATGCAAGTTTTCTTCTAAATACTTTCAAAACTCACATGCAAGATCACCACTGTCCCTTTCATTGCTCATTTTCTCTGGATCCAGAGATTTACAATTGGAGCATTGAGTTTGTGTCATATTAGCCTCATAGAAGGTCGTTTTCTTTTACTAATCATGCCTTAATAAGTTTAATTTCTCGATCTATAATTTGGCTATCAATTTTTGCGTTGGGAAACATGTTAGCACAAGTTTTTTTCTTTAATTAAAAGTCTAGGATTTAACTAAAAGTTTAGGATCTGATTTTTATTTGAGTGTAAAGTGGCAACTCCACATACCAATTAATTAATTTAATCCTAAATGAACCGATCGATCCAATCAGATAGTATTATATCTCCTTTTTTTCTAATAAAAAAAAGCATGCATAGAGTTTCAATTGTTTAATTTTGTAATAGACAAAATTTACTATAATTACGGATTTTCAATCAAAAGGAAATCTTATGTTTAAATATATTTAAGAATGATTTGATTAAACTATAATACTTGTTATTAGGTAAAGCTTTCACACTTAATCGAAAAATAACAGTAATAACACCTGCGAATGCATGTAGTACACGTTTATAAGGTTTCTGTGTGTTTTCTTTTTTGACGTTTTGATGTTGATGCATATACGACAGAATGTGGAGTCGTTTTTACTGTGGGCCAGTGGTCATGTTGTGATTAAGATAAGTCCAGTTTCAGTCCAACACCTGTAATATTGATACGGTCAATTTTGTCCTCTCTGCGAGTTTGGAGATTTTGAAAATCACCACCCTCTATTTCGGATTTTTTTTTAAATTGAGGATATTAAAAGTAATTAATAAATAATTGTTATTTTTTATTAAAATTTCCAACGAAATTTCACTGACAGTATTAAATATTACATTTATTAATAATATCATTTTTTTTACTTTTAATTCACTGACAATATTAAATATCACATTTATTAATATTATCTTCATTTCTATATATAAATTTGTTATATATGTTTTTTTTCTTCTAAAATTATCATTATATTACTTCTTTTTCATAATTAATATCTATATATTTTCTAATCAATTAGAGTGCATGTCATATATTATTTTTTCTCTTAATTAATACTTATCTCTTTAATTAAGGATATTTTAATCTAAAAATAATTAATATATAAGAGAATATAAATAGAATCTTATATAAAATAAATAAATAAATATTTAAGTTGAATCTTATGAATAAAAAGAAATAATATACTTTTTAATTTTATTATTTAACTGTTGTCAATAATCTACGACCATATAATAAAAGTGATATGTTTATCTGATTTAAACATTTTTTAATACATTTTTAACTGGGTCCTTGATTATGTATATTTTTTTTAATTCAGTCTAAGATTTTTAAAACCAGCATAAATTATTGTTTTATGATAGTTTCAAGTTATTAGAAATTAACTTTAGAAGTTCATTTTTTTAAGAACTCAATTAAAACAAATAATTTCCGGGCATCAGTGAAAATTTCTCAAAGGACTACCTTTCAAATTTGTAATTTAACCTTTTTTTTTTAATACTTCTTGACTGTTTTCCATACGCCGCAGTTTCAAAGAGTTGATTTTTTTTTATAATTTTTTTTAATTCTCTAGTTTCCCCTCAAAAAGAAAAGAACTGAACAATAGTACTTTGAAATAAAGTTCAAAAATTGTGAACTTTTGATGATGCTCAATTGATTATTCCATGCATGCATGAACCATGTATGAAGTAACATTTATTTGAATGCAATGAACTTAACAATCATGATTGAACTATGAACTATATGAACTATGAAGTAACATATTTATTTGAATGCAATGAACTTAACTATGCAGGTATGGAAAAACTGGCATATACAAGGTGTTAATGTTTGGAAATCCAAGTGTAATCGTGACAACACCTGAAGCATGCAAAAAAGTGTTGACAGATGATGACAAATTCACTCTTGGATGGCCTCGTTCTACAGTAGAACTCATGGGAGAAAAGTCATTCATTTCAATACCTGCTGATGAACACAAACGCCTCAGGCGTTTAACATCTGCTTCAATCAATGGCTATGAAGCACTCTCTGTGTACATCACATTCATTGAAAAAGTTGTCATAAGTTCATTGGAGAAATGGACCACCATGGGGGACATTGAGTTTTTGACTCAAATGCGCAAGCTTACCTTCAAAATCATTATACATATTTTCCTTAGCTCAGAAAGCGAGTCTGTCATGGAGGCTTTGGAAAGAGAATACACAATACTTAACCTTGGTGTTAGAGCCTTGCGTATTAACCTTCCCGGATTTGCATTCCATAAAGCATTCAAGGTAAGTAGCTTTCATCACCATGTTAATTAAGGATTCAATTTGTCAAAACTAAACTAAGCTTGTTATGAAATGCTAACAGATTAGTTAGTGTCTTTGCGTCTCATTAGTAAAGAGTCTCGTCTGATTTAATGGTAGAACTCACCAAAATTTATCATCAACCAATAGTTGAGAGCGTTAGAGAAAGTATTATTAATATTTTTCTTCTCATACTTGAGTTAATTTGTTCTTCAAATGAAGCACAAGTGTATAACTTTCTAAGAGACACAAATAATCACAGTAAACAACATATATGTTACTGCCTGTGAAAACCTCTAAGTTGTTTTTAAGATGCCATATCTTGTTTGGTTTGAATTTTTTGATTTTAGGCTAGGAAAAATCTATTGGCTGTATTTCAAACTATTGTGGATAAAAGAAGAAAGGAAAGGATCGGAAAAGCACCCGCCAAGAAAGCCAAAGATATGATGGATGCTCTGCTAGATGTTGAAGATGAAAATGGAAGAAAATTGGGTGATGATGATGTCATTGATATCATGTTGATGTACTTGAATGCTGGTCATGAATCCTCAGGACATATTACCATGTGGGCCACCTATTTCCTCCAAAGGCATCCAGAATATTTCAAGAAGGCTAAGGTATATATAATCTATATCAACCATCATCAGTCCATCTAAATTTTGTAATATATGTATGTGCATAACTTCACCTTGAATATGTCTCCATGTCCTACACCTTAACCCAAAAAATTCAACTTATCTGCTTCAATAGGAAGAACAAGAAGAAATCATAAGGAAGAGGCCTCCAACACAGAAAGGATTGGTACTGGAGGAAGTTAGGAAGATGGAATATCTCTCAAAGGTAGATATATTGTTGATCAACTTATAATTGATGATCTTGTGATTATATCTATTTTGGTTTGATTTGGTTTCTTTACATTACATAGGTGATTGATGAAACAATGAGGGTTGTCACCTTCTCACTAATGGTCTTTAGGGAGGCAAAATCTGATGTCAATATCAATGGTTAGTCCACATTCAGATAATCAATCCCTCCCATCAAAATTTGAATTATCTAAGATGCATGAATACTTTAGTGCATGGTATAGTGATGAAAATATAACTATGTCATGGCAACATGGTTTTTGTGCTGAGGTTTATAATGATATAGCTGGTATGATTGTTCTCTCATTGCATAATAAGCTCCAACTTATTGAACACTTGATTTAAATCTTTAACACCATGATGTGGCATGAATTAAGTTGATGTGAAGATGCAACATAAATTGAAATATTTTTTTCATAGCACTATATATATACACTAACTGTATTAACTTTTGTGTTACAGGTTACTTGATTCCAAAAGGTTGGAAAGTAATGGCCTGGTTCAGGTCGGTTCACCTTGACAACGACATATATCCTAATCCAAAGGAGTTTAATCCCGAGAGATTTAGTGTAAGTTTCAAAAAATTAGTTGACACATTTGAATTGAACGAATTAATATGAGTTTTGCACTTACATGAGAGCTTAATTTATGATGCATTTTCACAATTTGATTGATGAATCAATTCATAAATCATAGGAGGTGCGCAAGGCTGGAGAATTTCTTCCCTTTGGAGCTGGAACTAGACTGTGCCCTGGGAATGATCTTGCCAAGCTTGAAATCTCTGTTTTCCTTCATCATTTTCTGCTGAATTATGAGTAAACATTTTCTCCCTCTTTTAGTCACTTACTTTCTCTTCCTTCCCTTAAATGGTGCTCACATGCCATATCTTATATTACATAATTCTTAACTAGTAACTACATAACATGCAATCAAATGCTATTATTTTTTTCTTGTAATTTGAAAAACTCAAATGCATGTCATGTAATTAAAGATTGGTTGAAACTATGAACATCTGGTGGTCTTGAACTATCTTAAATTAAAGATCATTTTGCCATGAATTTTATTTGTTGGAAAGAAAATAAGCTTATTGGTTCTAAAAACCAAACATTAATTGTATCGACAAATGTTCATGTTATGTGTTGGTGCCACAGGCTTGAACAGCTTAATCCAGATGCCCCTCTGAGATTCTTACCACACACAAGGCCCATAGACAATTGCATGGCAAGGATCAAGAGAGTCAAGTGATTTCGTCAAGATGGAAAAGGAGAAGCATATCTGTGACTGGCTCTTCTTAGTATAAGAACCTATCTACATGTTTTCCATCGAATAAGACTAGGATATCTCAAAATTATTGCGTGTATCAAACTTTAATCGCTAGCTAGTGTCTAGTGTGTTACCCATTTCGGTGAATAAATTATGAATTCTATGAACTTTTGTTCCATCTGCTAGTGTGCCACTCATAAAAAGGACGTGTTTTTTCATAAAAGAGAAATACTAAAAATAAATTTTTTTTGAAGTTGAAATATATTCAAATTATTACTTCCCACGACTGTCACATCTTATTTAATAAATTTTTATCATTTTTTTTAATAAAATTTAACTAATAATAAAAGTGTGGAGAATGTATCACTGAGAATCCTCTTAAAATAATGGTAATTAGGAAGAATAATGGTGGGTGGGATTAGTAATTGTAATAGTTTCTTTTTTACCATTGATGCGAGTGTATTTTAAAGTTGATAATATATTCATATAATAAATTGAAAAAATAATAGAAAAAAATAGTTTTTGCAGTGTAAATGATTTTTATGTTATCATTGAATTACAATCTATTATATATATATATATATATATATATATATATATATATATATA